GCTGAACAGTTGGAGTTTCAAAAACAGAAGATGAAACTTGAACTGGAAAACCAAAAACAAATCAGTTCACTGAAGGAAAACGAGAGTGCAAGTATATCAGGAGGAGCGTCAGCCATGAGGATTGCAAATGAAAAAGGCCTTAGTTTGTCATTTCCAAGTTCGAGGGAACCCCACAAGATTGGGTCAGATTTTCGGGTCAATTTTCTTCCCAAATTGACGGTACCAGTGAACCAGCCACCACAAAATGTTCTTACCTAAAAGAATTGGTCAATGTGAAAGTACAGAAACTTATTGATGGATTACCTTTCACCAAAGAGTGTTACCTCAAAGCCAAAGCTCTACTCAGGAAAAGATATGGCCAAACTAGCGAAGTTGTAGGAGCGTATGTGAGGAACATTCTCGAGCTGCTGACAATTCAAGAATGAGATGTGGCAAACATACACGATTATTAGGAGAAGCTGCTGTTTAATGTGGAGTCATTACTAACACTCAAGAAACTAAATGAGTTTGACGCGGCCGCAAGATTCACCTTCGACAAGCTTGAGGTGATAAAAAATGAGCTCACCTTAATTGACGGGAACTGGCGCGATTGGACCTTCAAGGAGTTTCTGGAAACATTAGAGAAATGGACAATTAATAACCCCTTACAAGGTGGTCGTAAACAGAAGGCATTTTTCAACAGAGAGGAAAGAATGCATACCCCACGCGGGTGTGTTTATTGTACAAGCACGGAACACAGAGCCGTAAATTGCACCAAAGTTACTGTCGTGAGTCAATGAAAATCAATCCTTGCTTCTAAACGTCTATGCTTCAATTGTATGGGCACACACAGAGCAGCACTATGGGGGAGCCAAACATCTTGTCACACTTGCAAGGGAAAACATCACACGTCAATCTGTGAAAAAACGCAAATGTTACTGCCGGCATGTGAACCAGGCATGACTGCAAATCACGTTGGAGAATCAGCTGTCATTCATCCAGTTGTTGTACTGAGGGTTGAGGGATACAAATTTCGAGCACTTCTGGACGGTGGTGCGAGTCACTCCTATTGCTCTTCAACCTTCCTGAAATTGGTTAAAGCTCGGCCAAATACAGCTGGTTTACGTCAAATCGCAATGCTTATGGGTGTAACCACAAAAACACTGCAAGAATTTAATGTGACAATGCATGCTGTGACAGATAACTTTCAACTTGACATTAGCGTGACCAGAATCGATAAGCGAGAATTGCTTCTATTGGAAAATCCCCACTACGAGAAAGTTCTTGCCGAACACCCACACCTGAGATGGGTACACATGGATGAAGATGACGAAAAGTCTCAGCTACCAGTCCACCTTATTTTGGGAGCAAATGATTGCGTGTTGGCTGCCGTGGAGATCCTGTAGCCAAATTCATGAGATTTGGTTGGGCGCTGATGTCACCTGGAGCAGAGACAGATCTTTCGTCAGTGTACCTTGCTGTCAACTTAACTGCAGATTACGAGGGCTTATACGCGCTAGACGTCCTTGGTCTAGTGGACACTCCAATGGGAGATCAGGGCGATGTCTACGACGAGTTAAGGAACAGTTATCGCGTTCTCCCGAAGGATGGTATGAAACCGCATTGCCCTGTTGGCTGGTGTAATCGAGCAGCATTTAGAGACCTGGAAAACTTGCCTTCCAGGGAGCGTTAGCGAGGTGTTAAAGAGTCTTTACGTTGATGACCTTACTACTGGTGCCTCTACGATACCAGCAGCAAAGCAGCTGAAATGCAAAGCCACAGAGATTTTTGCCAATGCTAAGTTCGAGTTGCACAAATGGCACTCCAATGAACTGGAACTTGAAACTAACTGTGAGAACTACGAGCCTACCTTTGCGAAACAGCAACTTGGCAGCACATTCACACCTGGGAAAGGCAAGCTCCTCGGAGTTTCCTGGGACAAAAGCGAAGACACCTTAGGAGTAACCTTTCCCAATTCTCCAGCCAAATTGACCAACCTGGCTAAAGTATACGATCCACCAGGACTCGTATCTCCTGTGATGCTAGATGGGAAGCGAATCTACAGAGAAACTTGCAACCAGAAGATTACATGGGATGCGCCACTACCGAAGTTATCACCAGACAGTGGATAGCATGGGAGAAACAATTACCTACCTTTCTGTCCACGCAGCTAAGTTAAGCAACCTTTCGAGAGCCGATCCAAGAAGTACAGCTGCATGCCTTCGGTGACACCAGTGGTTATGAAGTTAGCGCTGCTGTTTATGCCATCGTCACATAAGATTCAGGAGTAACGCAGGGCTTAGTAACCGCTACATAATGCCTCGCCAAACAAGGAATCACAATCCCTCGTCTGGAGCTGGTGTCTGGTCACATGGCCACTAACTTAGCTGTGAATGTGCATAACACATTAGAAAGTTTCCCTCTAGCGACCAACATCCAGTGTTGGTTGGATAGTACAGTGGCCTTTCATTGGCTTAGTGATAATGGAGAATACTGTCAGTTCACAGCAAACCACGCCTGA